AGCAGTGCTACCGGTCATTATACCGCCGCCACCCTTCCTAGCAGTTAATATAATGACCTAATCGAAAAACTTGTAAGCTGGAAAACAAGCTTATATGTCCTAAATAAAATTTTTTAAGGCAAAATTTTTTCAGCTTTAATGAAGGCGTTCGAGCTGTGTATTATTTTACCTTTTCCAATTTCGACATCATCTAACGAAATCTTGAAGAGCAGCTTAAATCGATTGTTATCCAGGAAGTCCGGTGAGTATAAACTGAAACAGTTGTTTCTCTTATCTGAATACAACACGAAAATCAAAACATGGCTCATTTGTTATGAGAGACAAAGGCGCCTGGAAAGCAGTGAAAGTGAAAATGGATAGAAAACAGATGCCATTTGTTGGCAGGAATCTTCATGGCATTCTCCAGAATACAACACACTGATGGGGCATACCAGGCGGGCCCGCGCGAGCATGCGTTTCTACACTACTTCGTGTCACAGTGAGATCGCTTGGAATCTCAGTAGCTAGAGCCCGTGGTATTTAATTGTGCACCTGTGTGATATGGCAGTTTCGATGTCAGTTTCAGTGACCTGACAAATCGAAAGTTGCTGGTACGAGAAACCTTATAAATCGAAAGGTGCTGGTACACAAACAGCATCATTCCTTTTAAGTACTGACGCTACTGCAGTGAAAACGAATATCGCTAGTACTATGGTATCAGTGATAGGGCAAATTTGCACAATCATAGGAAGTACAGCTCGTACGCATTGCTGTGAAGTACAGAAACCCGAAATGAAGTTTGTCGAACTAGCTGGATTCGGTAGCTGAAATCAACCCTGCGTATCTGCAAAGAAACGGCATGAATCCTCGCATCATACTGAGACAACTAACTTCCACGTAAGACTTTAACAGACTAGCAAATGCTCAAGAGGAAAGAACTGTCCACAGCATTTGATGTATCTAACCACGAGATATAAGCCGCAGATGCCAATTTTACGCACACGGGTTTGCATATGAACAACGGATACCTCCATAAAAGTAC